AGGCTGTGTTTCAACAACCAGAGATGAATGTTATGCCTTGTACTTGGCAGTGGAAGGGGTCAGCAGAAAGCACTGTGCTGCGTGCCAGCTCCTCTGCTGCGAGGAAAGCAGGGCCACACAGGGCTGCTCCTGCACAGGGATGTCTCTGATGCACAAACCTTTGCATGGAGTGGCACCAGAGCTGCTTTCCCTTAGCACCACAACGGTGTCACAGCACCCTTTCTGCTGAGGCTGCTGCCAAAGGGCTGTTCTGCCCATGTCCAAAGTCACGCAGCCTTGTGCCTTTTGGTTAGACTTGGGAAGAGCACAGGAGATGGAGAGCAAGCTGGAAGCAGCTATTCTGGGCTGTGTGTGTGTAGGGGGATGTTGTGTTTGACAGGAATAATAACACACAGTTGAATCTAGACTCCCACCCTGCCTTCGTGCTTCCTGAGCGGCAGCAATGTGTCATCTTCCCAGAGCCATTCAGGAAAATACACCTGGAGCAGCTGTGTGTCTTGGCAAGCTGGAGGCTGTGGATGAGATGGTGGCATTTGTCCTCACAGCAGCAAGCCCTGACCGTCTACAGGAAGTATTCCAATGCTGCTTGAAAGTGAGTGACATTGTTTTAATCCTCATCTTTCTTTCTGCTGGATGAGGAGCACCTTTCCTTCCCAGACTGTCTCTCTCCTCAGCACACCCCATGTACACCCGCTGCAGGAAGGGCCTCATCTCCTCCTCTCCCTGGAGAGTGAGCTGGCAGCTCTGCCTGGTTATCTGCTGTCCTCAGCCTGGATCATCCCTCTGCAGCTCTGTCTCTCACCTGCCTGGGCACTGCTAAATCTTCCCTGAAAGGAACAGCAATTTGTCAAGGAAAACAGGAAGGTCTGAGCCTCACGCGCCCCAAGGCCACTTAGCAGGGCTCTGGCTGTCTCTGGACACCTGCTTTGTGCGGCGGAGTGACAAGCAAGGCTGCAAAGCTTTTCTGGAAAGAGCTTCCTTCATCCTGCTCAGTGTTGGTGCCACTGCTGTGAGCCCTTCTGGGGGAGCACTAAATGTGTTTTGCCCCCCCGGTCCTGGAGAGGTGTCATGTGCCCCACGTGGAGTGATGTCTGCTCCGTGTGCTGTCACCGCCTTCCTTTGTACTTCTCTGCACCAAGCCACTTATTGACTGGGAGTGTAATTGTGCTGCATCATGGCTAATTGGTTTGCTCTGTCGCTCTCCATTTGCTTTCTTGCTGCACTCTCCCCCCTCCCCGTTCCCCTGCTCGAATGCACTGAGCTGTGAGCGTGACTGGGGCACAAGGCCACCATCCTGATTGCTGGAGAAAAAAAGGCACCCACCTTCCTTCTTTCTTCTCCTAAATTCAAATGACAGGAAACAGAGGAAAACAATTTTGCGAACCCTTGGCGAAGGGCCAGCTCTGATAAAGAGCCGTAATTAATCTCCCCAGCTTTATTAGAATATCATTACAATTAAATCAGCAATCTTCTGTTGATCAAAGCCATTGTTCCCCTACAGAGCAGAGGAAGGCAGCGTGCGTTTGTGAGCCTGGATCGTGCAGGAGCTGAAGGCACCCAGAGCCGAAGCTCTCCTGCAGGCTGAGCAGCCAGCCTTTGGGTCCAGCCTATTCAGCAATGGGTTTTTTCCTTTGTGTGTGCTGATGCAGCTCTTTGCCTGCCCGCTTCCCACTCTGGGCTGGAGATACAGCAACTGCTGCAGTAATACAGCCAACAGAAGCACAGTGGGTAAAGGAACCGGGGAAACATTGGTGGAAGCCACATTGTGAAGAAAGGAGAGTTGTCAAAATGAAGCTTACTGAGCTCTACGGTTAAATAGCCCGAGATGTGTGCTATAGAAAAGCAAGGAAAATGAGCATGGTTAAACTACCCCTTTCCTCCTTCTCAGACTGTTCTCTTAGTATCGGGTATTTATCTGTAATTTAAGCCTGTGATTAGTTTTATCAAAAAGATAGTTCTGAAGCAGAGATCTTCAAAATGATTAGGTGTGTGTTTGAAGAAAAGAAAGCCGTGCTTGTGCTGCAGGATAAAGCTGTATCTGCTTGCTTCCTGGAGCATCCATCTGTGAGGGCCTCGTGCCAGGAGGAATCTCCTGGTTGTACACAGATCTACACCCCCTCTGTTCTTTCAGAACAGCCATCTGTCCCCTTCAAAGGCACCAGTGCCAGATCCTCCTAGGTGCAGGTCACCAGGCAGGGCAGTTTGTTCATCTAAGGTGACCTCACGTGTCTCTTCTTCCTCACCACACTCCTGCTCCTTAGGAGATGCTTTGGTGGCTATTGCTCGGGTTCTGACGGTGTGGACGCTCTGACAGCTCTGGGTGCATGGACCTGGAGACACGCTGCTCTCCAGCTCTCCCTGCAGCACCAAGAAGGAGAACGGCCCCACTGCTGGACAGGGTGTGGGGCTGAGCTGCTTGCAAAGCCTGCCATGGGGCTCTGGTGCAGCCATGCAGGGGTGAATCTGAGAAACGGGGCTGGGTGGCTGATATAAAGCAAACACTGTGCAGACGTTGAGGGTGGCACGCACTGCTACTGCTGCTGCTGCAGGCCAGGGGCGTAAGTAGATTAAAAAATGCAATCAAATGACTTCAAGGAAGAAAGGTTTGTTAAGGACTAATCAGAAAATGCTGCAGAGACAGCGTGGCTCAGAAACTCTCTCACCTCTGTTTGCCTGAGGCTGGTAGGATGGTGCAGGAAGGCTATTAGAGTTATGCAGTACTTGCCTCAGCCTTCCCTCTGCTGGGGCCATGCCCGGGTGACTCAGTGTGGCCCTTCCAGGATGCAGACCTACCCCAGCCTGAAACCCAGATGCAAGGAAGGGTGGAGTTCTTCGTCTTCCCCAAGCTTATGTCCTTGGATAAAGTAAGGGAACCTCCTGTGGGTGCTGGGCACACGATCTCTCACCACTTTGGGCTAGCGAGAAGAAGCTGAGCCTGGATGTGGAGTTGTTAGTGCCAGACTAGGAAAAACCCCGTGAGGGCAGGGGTTACAGTGTCATGGTCAGTGTCTCTGAGGGCCTTTGCTGTCTGTGCCCGTGCTGAGAACATGTTCTTCCACACTTTGTCTGACAGTGCTCTCAGCAAAGCAATGACAGGAGGAGTGGGCTGAGGGGAGGAGGGTGCTCTGCTTCCATGCTGGGCTCAGCAAAATACCAGTGCTGAGTCCAAGAGATGTGCTGCATGCCAGGCCAGGCTCAGAGGGAGCAGGAGCCAGGGAGGCTTTTCTGCAGGGCTCCTCCACAAATGGCTGGGGACATGAGGCACTGTCACAGGGCTGAGTGAAACGCAGGGCTGAGTGTCAGGTTGTTATTAAATACCATTAATAAGTGACAAAACTTCAGGCGCAGACAACGGCTGGAGGAGGATTGTTGCTGCAGCAGGGAGATGGGGCACAGGGAATGTCAGAGGCTCTGCTCTGT